GTAAGCGTGCCACTTGCCACTTACACCACTTCCGGCTCTTCGGTAAGATAAGCGTACATAACTCAATGAATCAATGAGCTGACCTTTACACAGCATTCCAAATATTTAAGTTGCGGAAGATGTTCAGGCAAAATGTAATCACTGCCGTCCAACACCTCATCTATCTCTTCCTGAAACATACTTATTGCGGCCTGTCATCAGTGAAGTCATAACCACATGTGTCTACATATTCACTGTGAGAAAAACAGCTTACAGCAAGGCTACCTCGGTGCTGGTCACTGAGGTTTCCAGATGAACCAGGTTAACAGAAGAGGTGAGCTAAAAACCTCCTAGCCAAATTGTGGTGCCTTTATAATTTACAGAAAAGAGACAAGTAAAATTCAATGTAAAGCTATACAGTTGTTCAGAAAAGCCCAAATTCTTATTCGAAAAGCAAGGAAAGAATTGGAATTCAATAATACTGCGAAATGTTGCTCTAAGCAAACGTACATTCTTACCTGGACCTTTTTCTGTATTTCTGGATAGCAGCCAAGAAGAAATAGAACCCAGCTGGATGATGTTGATGTTGTGTCGTGGCCAGCAAACATTAGCGTATCCACCTAAGAAGGGAAGGACTATTTATGCGCAGAAACATTGAGCTATTGTTTTTGTTTGTTAACTGCTGTTTTTGGCCGCAGTTCGCCTTGCGAATGTTTCACAAGAATGCTGGGTTGTGAACAAAACTTTCGCCCCAGGCGGGACTCGAACCCGCACCTCTTGCTTACCGGGCAAGTGCGCTACAAGTTACGCTACCGGGGCACCATTTCATCCCAACTCAGCTCTTCATGCGTAACTTGTAGCGCACTTGCCCGGTAAGCAAAAGGTGGAGGTGTGGGTTCGAGTCCCCTCTGGCGCGAAAGTTTTGTTCACAATCCCGCAGTACTGGTAACATCGAGATATTGTCTCTCCACTAGAGGCAGCATTCGTCGCTGAATCAGTTAGAACGGAAGGAATTCAGGCCTAGCTATTCCACAGCGAGAATAACGCATTAAATTTTAAGACGTTATGGAGTGATGCCATGCTCCTACTGCCTCATCGAAAAACTGATCAAACAGAATCGAGGATGCGCGCAGACAGAAATTATATTCGCTACCGCGTCGCACAGGGTTGCTCTGTGCCGACGGTAGTGGTCCCCTCCCGGCGAACCCACAATTAGTTGCGGCAAACAGGTTGTGCGTCGATATAAAAATGATACCGAAGCCAAGATCTCTTTACGGTTATTTGTCCTCTGAAGTCGCGAGTCATATTAGATGTGCCACCCACTAGAATCAAGCTAGACTGTTCAGTGGGCAGGACTGCACGGATCAAGCCTTGTCTTCAACGCCAACGCTCTCCCAGCAGAAACGGATAGAGACGTGTGCAACTGCGTTTATCCAGTCGTAGGAAAGGCCGCCGCCAATAGGCCGCGGGGGAGCACCTATGCTAGATCGCTGAAGGCGTCCTGTATGACGCCCTCCGCTCATATGGGGTCGTTCCGCACTAAACTTCCCAATCGTAATAAATCCTCTTGGGCCTTGAGCTTTATCGAGAGCACTCTGGAATACTTTGCTCTATGCCATTTGTGACTGATATGCGGAAATGAAGTCGAAAATTGTCGGAGAACGTTTCTTGAATTGCAAAAGTTGAGTTCACCTGCTGCTGAATCTCATCGGCGGCCAACTGTCCATTGTTAGCCATGTCAAGAAGAAGATCAAGAAAAGCAAGACGTCCATCAAAGCGCCACTGACGCTCTTCTAATTCCTTCTGACGCTCCTCTATAACCTAAACAAAACGACAAGTGAGAAGTGGCAACAGAAAATCCGAACGCTTCCAAATTTTCTGAACAAGAAGCGAAATTTAACTTGCGGGTAAAGTCTTGCAGAATATTGATGCACTTCTTTTCAAGTTCGCCTTCCTCCAATAACCTTAAAATAGTAAAACACATCTACGTAGATGAAAGACAATCAAGCCGAGGAAGGAGAGGGCATACGCCAACGAAGATATTGAAAAAAAAAATGTCGTAAATTCCAGGTCTATACGCCAGTAAGTGTTAAACCCAATTCAAAAGTAGATTCCACGATCAAGCCTAGTTACTGCTCCGTAAGAAAGATAGAGCAGTTGACAATGGCAGTAATTTTGCCTGCCCATACTGGAAGCCGCCCAACCGAGGAATGACCAGTACGGTCTGCCTCAATACCTGACCCGATGCTCGTCTGTGTCTCTCGCATCTGTGCGGCCGTGCACGGCAGCACTTCAAACCCTAATTGCGGCCATTAGACTGCATCAGCGCGTGACCTGCTAGAGTGATCATCTGCGCGTACAAGGAAAAAATTCTCAACTGCAATAAGTTCCAAGGTTTTTTTTGCTTCTCAATTGCTCTAGCTTTCCTTCACTCGCCTAAACTCTATATGAGCGAAATAATCACTCTCTGATCTAAGAATGTGCCTTCAAGCGCACATTGCACAAGAGCAGTGCCTGGGTAAAAGGTTCCAAATACTGAACTGTAAATACCAGAACAAAATGCAAAAGAAAATACTGGGAACCCAGAAGAAGGCTCCTTTTTTGCAGCTTATTTTGGGTATTATAGGGGTTTACTGAAATAGAGCATTGGACGCCTGGACGAAGGAGAAGACCTTGAGTAGACGACACATCAGAAAGGCAAAAGACAAACGGGTGTCCCTCCATACAGGGGCGGGTGGCAACCGACAATCATGTGACGCAACTTGATATTCGTACGTGCACTCGAAAAGGGAGTGGAAAGGAAACACGACACAAGCTCAAACGATTACGGTTTGTTACAAATTTTTGATAACACCTAATAGTCGTGACGAACACCAGCAAAAACCACATACATGCTGTCAAACTCACTTGTCGTAGATGAAACTGCTCCACATTAACGGATTCCTGGCCCTCTCTTGTACCAAGTCGTTTATAGTGCGTACGGCTTTCACGTATTCGCTTTCCTATAACATCGTAACTTAGGGCTTTTGAACTATAAATCAAAGCTTCAGGAAATTACACCTTGTCCAACTGAGCGTTCAATGTCTTGCCCATTGATGTTTCACAAATAATATCCAGAGCGCACAGAGTGAGATGAGACATGATTTCGACAGGCTCTCTAAAAATCACTCTTAAAATGATCATCACAAAAGATGGAATATCCTTCTTAAAGAATTGAAACGAACCCTGCAGGCAGGTCGTCGAGTTTCTTGACAAGAATATGCGCTTGTTCGTTGAAGATTGGGACAAAGTCCTTCAGAATATCGTAATGAAACGTTGGCGTGAGCAACTTACGCGCTGGGCGCCAATAGTCAACGTTACTGTAATCGTTTATTTGAGAGCAAATAGTAATTTAAGCCCAATAATGGAAAAATGTTCACAGGTTTTTCCAATAAGGGGCGGATATTAGATGCAACAGTTCCCGACGCCCACAGCTATCCTAATTTTTGCAGGGGAAGGATGTCAGAGGTGGGTGAAAGCGGAAAGAAATAGTACACGCACGCCAGGAATTTCTTCCCCCTGCAAAAACTGGGATTATGGTAGGCGGCACCTCGCATGCCCCACTTATTGGAATAGACCTTGACTGCGCTATACCGGCGAACAAAACCTTGCGACTTTGCTTCGTCGCGTGGCTCAGAATGACAAATAAATTCACTAACCTTGTAATAATGCCCTGTCCTAGCCATGCTTCGATGTAGCTGTAAAGCAAACTTTGCTCAGATTTATGCTAAGTCAACGAGTTTTCTCGGCAAGTCGAGGTGACGTACACACTCACTACTGTAAAGTCCCTAGCCAAAAACCACCATTTCGTGGAGTGTCAGGATACATGTAAGCCATGCCCATGACCTTAACCACAACCAAATTCCACTAGCAATTTTCTCAAAAAAAAAAAGACTCGACCATTAAATAAAACCACCTGATTGATGAATCCCTCCATATCTGGTTTGGCAATCAATGCATGCCCAATCAAGGGATAGGTACGTGGGCAGTTGATACCCTGAAAAAATGAAACCAAAGTGAAGTGCTGTTACCCTATATAAGGGACATTGTGCTATGGTGTACTCAAAAGAAGAGGGAAACGAAACGAGACATCGCGGACTGTGCGGCTGGCGCGGTGACCTGGCCAACGCTGCGATTGAATCGTCGCACACCCTGGATACGGGTCCTATTTAGACCAAGAATTGAGAAGGAAAACAAATCCTGAATCAAGCAAGTCCTCATTTCCCCTGGCACCCCTCCTCCTTTTCTAGGCTTGGGGCCTTCAACTTGCGCAGGCATACATAGTGCCGCCCCACCGCCCCCCTCCCCTTCTCGGCTTCATTGGCACCGAATATTCAAAGAAATGGCGTCACCCGAACATCACAGATCCAGTGTATAGAGGATTTTCTATGCAAAATTAGGACCACCTTAACAGTTATGAGCGTTGCATTGAGATGTACCCCATAAAGTAACGCGACTCTGAGTTAACGCTTACCTCATCACAATATAAAGATGCCAATAACACAGCCATTTGAGGAATTTGGAAAGCCGCACACAGCGAACTAACGGCGCGCGGTTGCGTATTCTGCAAACAGATTGGAGCGCTGTCAAAATAGCGCCCTCGTAATTGCGACCTTCCTGCAGTAGAATATGTGCGTAAATGTTAGGCTGGAGTCAGGGTGTGGGTACTTAGGACAGAACGCGACTTTTTCGCTCTTCGCAACGCGACATCGCGCGGCAGGCTGGCGCACCCGTAGCGAAAACAACTACGGTATATAAGAACGCGCGATTGGAGCGCGATATTTGTGTCGGCTTTGATTGCGACAAGGAGTTTGAAGCTTAATAGCCATGGATTTGATAATGAACGAGGAAATGGTAACCAGAAGTGGACCGCTAACTAGCAGTGAAGAGGGAGGTAGGTTATTTTTGCAGAGATGGATGGTAGAGCTTCTGGAGAACCTGGAAGAGGAATGGTTGATGGACGTTTGATGAGACGACTGTAAACTTCTGCATAGGGGTTATTTGGGGCCCTGATCATGAATATGACACTAATTTTTCCCATTCGTGCTGTTTAACGCATACTTTCTGCTTTACTATGCTTTCTCACCTACAGCCAGCGTCCAAAATGAGTATCATATCCGTAATGAGGACAGAAGCGTTTCCGTAAAAGATGTTATACCCTTATGCAGAAGTCTATACAACAATATGAACCCACAAAATGCAAGCACAAGCGCCCTATTAAACCCTCGTTCACCGATAATTCGTAAAACACCATTTTAGTGGCATCGCCCGGAATCGTGTAAGTCACAAAACGTTTTCAATAATGAGACAGAATTAGTGATTCACCGCATTTATCAATACAATGGGTGTGAGCGCGGGCAAGTAAGGAATCAGAAACTTACAAATTCACGCATGCAAAAAAGCTGCTCCAATCGCGCGTTCTTATATACCGTAGTTGTTTTCGCTACGGGTGCGCCAGCCTGCCGCGCGATGTCGCGTTGCGAAGAGCGAAAAAGTCGCGTTCTGTCCTAAGTACCCACACCCCGACAGAGTTCGCATCCGGTCGCAGAGTTCGCGGGCACTATCGCAATGCAAGCTCTCTTTGAAAATTTGAAACACTGAATATGAAACAAGTAGAATCATGAACAGTCGTCATTCAACCATCACCATCAAGCAGAAATGGCGGCGGGATTGGAGAGCACCTTCGCAGTATTGATCGGGGCACTTGTGATATCTGTGCTCCGTCGCGCGACAGATCGCGTACTCTGACCCAGCCTTGTCGCGACCGCGCCCGCTCTCCCTATTTCGACCGCAGCTTCGTCTATAACCGTACTTTCAAACAGAAATGGAGCTTACAATTAGTCTCTTCGATTCTCATACGCTTTTTTAACATCATTGCGTGAACTGCGCACACGCGCCCATCGTATTCAAAAGCCGGCATACACCGTTCTGCTCCATTTAAAAGTTCAGATGAATGGGTCTATTCCAGTTAGGGGGCATCATGGTGCAGTGACTCCCAAAAAGCTACGGTAACTCTGAGCCAGGGGAGTGTAGCCAGCCTAGGGGGGTGGGGGGAGGGCAGTCACTTGACATGCGTGAGAAGCTGGAATGTTCGAGTTTACATTAGCTCGCCGAGAAACTGCATCATGATGCCCCCCTAACTGGAATAGACCCGATGAATGCAAAGGAAAAAGCATACCTTGAACCGTTTTTTCAACTTCAAATGCTTAGCGATGAAGTAAGCAATAAAGGTGACCGCACAGACAAGAACGAAGGAAGAGACCAATCCCATAGCTGGAAATACCTATAGAATTATGAAATGACAACAAAAGTGACCAAAGCACGAAGATAAATGAATCCGAAAATTAAAATATGAAATAACAAAAAAGAATGCATATTAATTGATTCTCCCATTTTGTGGAAGTTGCTGCAAAAATGAGGTGATGAACAATGGAATGAGGAAATGGGCCAGCAAAACTTACAAAGAAAACAACAGATCGACGCGGGAATCCGGAAATCGTAGATCAACGAGCCAATGAACCGTCCTAATCGGCAACTTTATGAGTCGCTCCTTCATGTTTCTTCCGAAATAAATACTACCTTACGTTTCAAAATTCTTAAATAAGTTTTACAAATTTTCACTGAACTATATAGACAAACATACGGGAAAGTTCGCCGCGCTGTGCTGCAGCATCTCGATGTAAACAGCGCTATCGGGTGAAAATGTTTTTTGATCTATACTCGATATCCGAGAGTTGGGGTAGGCGTGTCACCGGAAGTGACGTGCACTTGATAGAAGCTATGTGGATAAGCTGCTTCCAACATACATCGCTGGATATCAGCAAAGCATGCTGGCAACAGCTTGGGGGGTGTGGGTACTTAGGACAGAAAGGCGACATTTTCGCGCTTCGCAATGCG